TGTCTATCTATATATGAATCTATTCAACATAAATGACACGTTCAGTTTGGTCAGATGGTCAGATAAAACAAACAGAAACAAATCCCCCTTACTTCCTTGATGAAGAAAAAGCAATGTAATCCATAAGACGACCATCTTGAGAATGCGCTTTGGGGTTTTTCAGTAAGTTACGACGGGGAAATGAGCACACTGGGTCAGACCATAAAATGCATCCGATTGGTTAACACAGAAAAGACTTAAAATACACTTCCTGTCACATCGGTCTCTCTTCAGCATTTTCTAACTCTTATTATCTCTGTTTAATCTCCCATTGCAATTTTTCTTATTATTTATTGTTAATTTTTGACTATTTCTGTCTGATCATAATTCACGTTCTCAAATGTTCAGAACAGAAAACATAAAATGCATGACTTCTACGACTGGTTGTGGTGTGTGCTGCAAGAAATACCTAAAATACATCAAACTCAGTACTTCAAAAGAAATGTGCAAGCTGTATGTTTCATTGGTGACATTTTGTTCTTCAGAAGAGCTGAAAAGCAGACTGAACAGCGATGCATGGTTTAGCTTCTTGAAAAAACAAAACTAATGTGTAATTTGTGGAGCAAAACCAACAGAACTCAATAACCCACTTTTTAACACTTTTTAACACTTTTTAACACTTTCGATTGTCTCATTTAATCATTCATGTTATACCACTCGACCTAAACATGAATGATTTGATACTTTTATCTACTATTATCTGCAGAACCAACAGTCTAATCAGTTTTCCTTCTTTCTCTCTTCTTTCACTTTTTTAATATCAGCAGTATAAAAAGAACTTTAAAGCACATTTGGTATTTCTGCATCATGAACTGAACACATTTAGGTTTCCATGGCAATTCAACATGTACATTTTGCACATTATACAAAATTTTGTGTAATGTGTAACTGCACAGGATCATCTTTATTTACTAATGGAAAACATTTTTAAACTAAAGTAATAGCACAATACACTACAGTCACTGCTCATATTATCAGTTGCACCTGTTTAATTCAAGTTATTGTTAGCGTTTTATATGCGTGTGTGCATGTGTATCTCCTTAACCAAAGTATCTAGTCAGGAAATCAATGATTAGATACTTTGATTTGAGTATTTGAGGAGTTACTGTTTGTTAAGACCCGGCTCTGCTATGGGACA